TATGAGATAACTTGTACGCCATTTGGCTTGTAAATGCTGATTTCCAATGTATATATATGTTTGGATAATGTTTGGTTGGATTTCGGAGTGCCACGACTTTCATTTTTTTTATTTTGTGATTTTGGCTTATTTGCGGGCATTGCAATGTTCGGAACGTTATAGATTGACGTAAACTGTACCGTTAGTCCTGGCGAGAGCTGGGCAGGCAGTCCGCTAACCCCTTTGGTTCGCCTTAGGGGAAGGTGGGGCTGTCACAATATCCTTTGCCCTGAATGTGTTCTTTTTTCTGTACCCTTTTGCCTGATTTATCTGGCTAATTGCTTAACTATATATTGGATTATGATTTATTTGAGTTTGACTCGTTTCTTGATGTCTGGGTATGCTATTTTGTCTTGTACTTTACCTGTTTGGTTACTTGGAATCTCACTGAGCTTTTAGCTCATTCCACGCCATTTGTTTTCCTTACAGGGTATGAGAACATGAGAGGTTGAATTGAGGAAAGTCTCGATTTCTTCTAAGATTGTTAGTTGTTCGAGCGTGTACTTCTTAGATATCTAACCAGCTTGTTTGGTTCGATTTTGTAAGTCTGATTTTTTGATTGTATTTATAGGTCGTGTGGATGTTGGAGGACCATGAGTGTATATGTTAAAGGTTGTAGTAACTATCATATTTTTTTGAGGGTTTTTATTTGTAAGTTTTCATGAATTATGACTGAATCCTGACGAGAGTTGGGCAGGCGATCCGCCAAACCCTTGAGTACGCCCTAAGAGGAGGTGGGACTATCACAATTTTTACCTAAATTGATACTTGAATTAAGAGTATGCAAAGGAACTCAGATATGTGAAGTGTTGAGTAACTGGAGATTCTCATCTAAATATGTTGATTCGCATGTTAAAAAGAAACTTCACTACTTGAGTCACTTGTAAAATTAGGTTAAAGAGAGAATTTGAGTTGAATATGTTAAAATTATGATATAAGTATCTCTCATTTACCTGATATTACAAGCACTTGAGATAAAATGAATTATTGCATAATGATAATCCACTCATTTTTGAGGAATTGACTTTCAAGGTTGCATATGATTTATTTCGACCTTTAAATCATTGTTGGTTTGTATTTTTTATTATTTGAGGACAAACCATGATTTGAAGGGGGGAAAATTTTGGTTGGTGTTTATTTTACATCTTTTTATGTGTTTTATTATTTAGTTTTTGGTGTGCTTTAGTTATTTTAAGAGCTAAATAACTAGTTTTCTACTAAATTTTGGATTTTGTGGTAAAACTAAGAAATGTTGCATTTCTATGCATTTAAGTGGTGAAAACATCATATTTTTGTGGATTGAAATGACTAAATCATCAATTGCAATGAAATGAGAAGATATTTGGAAGATTCTTGATGATTTCAAGTGATTTCAAGTGAACATGAAGTGTAAAATAATCAAAGGATGAATTACAATTATGAAACAAAGAAGAAAAGATTGGGGTAAAAAAATTTCAGCGGCCATTAAACTATTGATCAGATCATATTTTGGCTATCAAACAATTTTTCATCATAAATTGGCCACTAAACTAACTAATTAGCACTCCCAAGCCCATTCTATTATTGCTTTTAATTTACAAAATAATCAACACACGTGGCGAAATGCAAGGGTAGTTTTGTCCACCACCAACTCGACCCTATTCTTCCCATTATTACTTTCCTCAAACCTATACCTAAAGAACAAATTTTGTCAGGCAAAAAAATAGGAACTCAATTTGGAGCCCTAAATTCGGAGGCAAAGAACGAAGAAGACGAAGAATGTTACGGCGCTCTCCTAAACCCATACCTAGATACCCTTGCAGATTAACGGCAACAACGAAAACCTCATGGGCAAATTGGAACCCACCAAAAAGATATGTGGTTTGCTCCTTAGGAGAGCTAAGTTGTTTGATTTATAATGGAGAGGTTATAACATGAGGATTTAGTCCTACCATGTAAGTCATGGGATGATGGATGTGGCTTTTGGAGTTGGTATGATCTATCAATGCGTGAAAGTTCGACTCAAATAATTCTCAGTTTGTTGAGAAGAATGAATAGAATGGAAAGCATTATGAAGGAACTGGAAACTTGACAAAAAGATGGGAAACTAAATCTCAAAAATTGGAGTTTAAAGTTTCAAAATTCGAGGTTGAAGTGTTAAAAAAAAACACAAGACCAGAGCGCGCTATCTCTTAAGAGCCCTTTTTGCTAAATGATTTTTGGCATTGTCGTATTGTGTCTTTTTGTATTTTAAGATTGTTAATGACAGTAGCCATATGTTGGCCATCAAAGAGTAGTGAATTTTATTGGGTGATTGTGGACAAGTAGACGGAATAAGGTTGTCCATTGTAATTAGACCAAGAAGATATCTCATGTTATCTATCATAGTGAGATCATCATTTGTTTGTTTTGTAATGAAATCCCTAATATTATTTTCTATTTGTACTAAATGAATGGTGATGATTTTGATTCCTGTCTTTTGATGCTTACAAAACAATTGGATATTACTAATCTTTTTTCAATATGAACTTTTTTCAGTTTTGAAGCAATTTGATTCAAAGAACAAAAGCAAATTGATAGAAGATAAAGGTTGTCGAAAGCTATCAGACGCTCATAAGTCAATACCGGATATCCGATAAACAGGGCAGATCATATCGGATGCAGAACATTCTCACTGGACGTTTAATAGAATTGAAATAATTTTTCAAACTCTCTATTTGCTATCGGACGTAAGCATCGGAAGTACCGGACATCTTATACTCCCAACGGCTAGTTGACTCTTCAGTTACTTTCTATCTGTTGGAAGCAATAATGAAACACTTTCTTGGTCTTATATAAAAAGTGCATGCTCAGAAACTTCAAATAACTTTTGCACACTAAAGATACAAAAAATATAGAGTAGTTTTAGTGAGAAAATATTCTCCGAGGAAGATTTGTAGTCTTGGTGTTGTGAAGTTCATTGTAAACTTTTCATTTGTGAGTGAATATTTCAATAGTGTAGCTCTATGAGGGTTGTCCTGAGAGATAATAAAACTTCATAACTTAATCGAGTGGAGTTTGGGGCAAGGAGAAAGTGAGCCTTCCTTTGTACACAAGATTGGTTGTATTTCATCAACTTAAAGAAGTTTGTATAAATTGATCTTCAAGTTCAAGAGGAACTTGGTAGTCAATTGGTTTGCAATTCTTTTCTTCTCATTTATTTATTGTTATGTTGTGATCCTTAAATTGCTTATCTCTTCTACTTCTCTCAAGTGATATTGTTCATTTATTGATTGATTTATTGTGTGATTACTTAGAAAAGAGGGTAATTTCATATTGAGCAAAAAATGCCCATAACTTGATTAGCTTTTTAATAAACCTAATTCACCCCCTTCTTAGGTTGTCTTCGGGCCTAACAATTGGTATCAGAGCTTGGTTTTCTAGAGATTAATCTCAAGCGGCTTAAGAGTAAATATGACAATCAATAATGTCATATTTTTTGAAGAACAATTTGTCTCTAAATCTCCAATGTTTAATGGATCGAATTATATGAGTTGGAAGGAAAAAATGATTATTCTCTTGCAATTGATTGATATTGAATTGTGATTTATTATTAATGAAGGTCTATATGATACCTCTATAATAGATGAAATTACTCATAGACTAAGATCAAAAATCATAAATGAATTGGCTGGTGATGATAGAACCCATCTCACCTTAAATGCAAAGGCTATGAATGTGTTATATAGTGCTTTAAACTCAAATGAATTTATTAGAATCAAAGGCTGCAAGTCGGGTAAGGAAATTTGGAATAAACTGAGAGAAATTCATGAAGGTAGTGAAAATGTTAGAGAACTAAAGAAATCTATCTTAGTTACTAAGTATGAGTCGTTTAAGATGAAATCTCATGAAAATATTGATAAAATGTATTGTAAATTCAATGATCTTATTAAAATTTTAGAGATGCTAGAAAGAAATACTCCTTAGGAGAGAAAAATAGAAAAATTTTGAATATTTTGTCTAAGAATTGGGAGAGTAAAGTAACTGCAATTGAAGAGACTAAAGATTTGAATTCTATGCTTATTGAATCTCTTATTAATTTTCTAACCTCTTATGAGCTAAAACTTAAGACTAAGGTACAAGAAAAGTATGATGCAAAGGCAAGAAGGAGCATTGCTCTAAAAGCTTCTCAAAATGAAGATGACTCGACTTCCTTGGAAAAAGAAGATATGGATATTGACGACAATGATCTTGTTCTCATCACAAAAAATTTTAAAAAAAATTCTCAACAAAAGGAGATTCAGAAAAGGAGGACCTTGTAATTCATTTCCAAATCAATTCAACAATGCAAGAAACAAAGGAAAACAAGAGGGAAATAAAAAGTAAGGCGACAAATGCTATGAATGTGGCCAACCTGAACACTACATGAGTGAGTGTCCGAAGAAGAAGAAGAAAGAAGGAAAAGCTGAAAGAAAATTAAGATTCAACAACTTCCAATTCACATGGAATAAGTGCAACTCCGATGGTGAAATTGAAGAGGAAGAAAAATCTATTCAATTGACTTTTATGGCTAATGGAGATGATGAGATAACAACTTGTAACCCTCAACTTGATAGTAATGATGAAACTGATGATGATTTTGAATCCTTCGTTGAAAAATTGAATGATAGTTTGAAAGAATTTTATGCTAAAAACAATGAATTAAAATACAAAATTAGTTTTTTTCTTCAGAATAATACACGCGTTTTTCAAAAAAACAAGAAACTGAAAACTGAAAATGATTTCTTAAAAAAGAATGAGATTGATTTACAAAATAATCTTGATGAAAAAATAATGCTTTGTGAAATGTTCAAAGAGAAACAAGGTGATCTGAAAAGAAGAATGAAAAATCTATATGAGTTTCTCTTTTTTTTTTTTTTGTCGAAACGTTAGAAGATTTTCATTCCTTGAAACAAGAAGTTACATGTACGAGCAAAGGCTTGAAGGAACTGTACAACTAGTGCTCATCTAGCACTGATGAGATTCCATTCCTCATCCACTAAAATGCCATAGGCATGAGAACTTAATTTTCTACTGCGTTTACTACTTTCTTCCTTTGCCAAACTAAACAAGCACATGCGAAACAACTTTTGCATGCTCAGGATGTCATCTATTAAGGTAGCTAGCCTACTGCTAGAGGGGTTCTTGTACTTTATCTGCCTCATAAGATCCTGGCTTTGAAACTGGATCGTGATTTTGCTCCACTGATGCTCAAGAGCCTTACATATGACCAGCTGGATAGCCACTGCTTCATCTATGACTTTATCTCCCTTACTTTGCTCTTTAAGTGCCCATTCCGCAAGTCTAGTATTTGGGTGCTTTATCGCTGTGACTCCAATCCCCAGTGAGACCTGGCCATGCTGACTTGTTGTAGCCACGTCTAAACAGATGGTCCCTTCTTTATCCTGTCCCTTATAGTGCTCTTCCTGATTGAAAGATGTTTCTCTTGTGCTCTGGCTAGCTTTGCCTTTCATAATTTCCTCTTGCTCCAGCCACTCTTTATGAGCTTTTTCGATTGTTCGAGCTGGAGAGCAGCTGGTCTTGTTTTCAAATTCCTTCTGGTTTCTTTCTTTCCACACTTGCCATAAAATATTCGCAGTCAAGCCAATATGCTCCCTTCCCCTTGGCCTAGTCCTTGCTTCTGAGATTCTGATCCACCACCTTCTGAAGTCCCCTGTTTGGTCTATAGCACCATCCCATTGTATTGGTGCTGCCTTTCATATTTGCTGCGTGTGTTAACAGTTTAGCATTAAGTGTTCCACTGTTTCTTGGCCTTCCCCACATAATCTGCACATTGGATCTCCCAATCTTGTTTTCCTGAATATTGCTGCTCTTACTGGCAGTGTTCCTGTTAAACATTTCCAGATGAAGATTTTCACTTTATGTTTGATGTTAAGTTTCCACAAGGTGTTCCACATTTGTCTAAGTTGCTGACCTCCCTCTGAGATGCTTGGTCCAGCTGCCTCTGGTGTTATCATCTTGGCATTGGCACTCTCTTTCATTTGACATTTGTATCCTGAGCTAACAGTATAGAACCCTCCTGCGTTGTGTTGCCAATAAAAGTTGTCCTCCCTCCCCATCAAACTTATGGGAATATTCAGGATCTTCTCAGCATCGCTTTGCATGAAATACTTAAAGAGGTTGTTCTTCTTCCATCTATGATGGCTTATGAGCTCATGCACCATTTTCAAGTCGCAGCTTTGAGGACCAAGAGGGGTTGGCCTACCTGAGCTATAACCTGGAATCCACCTGTGGCCCCAGATGCTCGTGCTTCTGCCATTACCAATTCTTCTGATCACCCCTTTCTCAATCAAGCTTCTTGCTCCTAACAGTCCTTGCCATATCCAGGAAGCAATCTTGTGGGGCTTGCATGTTAGAATAGAATCGTTTGGGAAGTATCTTGCTCGCAGCACTTTACTAATGAGAAGGTTTGGTTTGGTGAGTATTCTCCAAATGTGCTTGTCCAGTAATGCTTTATTGTACGCTTCAATGTCCTTGAATCCCAGACCCCCTGCATTCCTACTCATTGACATTCTCTTCCAAGATAACCAATGCAATTTATTATTTCCATTTGCTTCTCCCCACCAGTAGTTAGCCATCAGTGAGCTTATGTCTTTGCATAGCTTTCTTGGCAACTTGAACACTGACATGGTGTAAGTTGGCATTGCCATTGAGACTGCCTTAAGCATTACTTCCTTGCCCGCTGTGCTCAGCAACTTGTTCCTCCAGTCTTGAATCTCTCTTGATGTTTTCCTTTATGAACCCAAAGATTTGTTCTTTTGTCCTAGAGATCACCATAGGCAGTCCTAGATACTTGCCTTGTTTCATCTCTGTCATTTCTCCCAGTGAGCTACACACAGCTTGTCTTTGTTCCATGGGCATATTTTTGCTAAAGAAAACAGAAGACTTCTCCAGGTTGATCAACTGCCCTGAGGCCTCCTCATACTTTTTGAGAATCTTCATGATTTCATTGGCCTGCTGTACATTTGCTTTACAAAAAATGAGGGAGTCATCTGGGAAAAAAAGGTGTGTGAGGATTGGTCCTTGTCTGCTAATCCTCAACCCTTTTATATCATTTCTCTCTTCCACTTTCTTCAACAGATTTGAGAAACCTTCTGAACAAATTAAGAACAAGTAAGGGGACAGTGGTGCTACAAATCCTTTGGTTTCCCCATTACAATTGAAAGAATATGTTACAGTTTTCAAGCAGCTAGTTATTCAAGTAATCCATTGTGCACAAAAGCCCATCTTTTGCATCATTGCCTGTAAGAAGTGTCACTCCACTCTATCATAAGCTTTGGTCATGTCTAATTTGATTGCCATGTAACCTTCTTTTCCTTGCCTTTTGTTTTTGAGGTAATGCATATACTCATGAGCTAAGATTACATTGTCTAAAATTTGTCTGTCTGGAATGAAAGCAGATTGCGTGTTACTTATGCACTTGTCCAGAACAAGCTTCAATCTGTTGGCCAAAATTTTGGAAATGGTCTTGTATATGACACTACACAAGCTGATGGGTCTAAAATTTTTCACATTTGTTGGATTCAGGATTTTAGAGATAAGAGAAATGACAGTATGGTTTATGGATTTTAACAGGAAACCTGAGCTGAAAAAAGACTGAATTGCTGGTATCAAATCTCCTTTGATAGTGCTCCAAAAACGTTGGAAGAATAAAGGGGTCATGCCATCTTGGCCTGGAGCTTTATCAGACTGCATAGAGAATAGAGCTACTTTGATTTCTTCTTCATCAACTTACTTAGTTAAATTGGTGTTCATATCCTGAGTTAGAGAGTGGGGGATACCCTCTAGCATCTCAGTCATATCACTCCTCCTTCCACTAGTAAACAACCCTCTGAAGAAGTCAGAGATTTCAGCAATTACTTCCTCTTCATTCGTTGTCCATGTAAGGCCTGGTGCAACCCAATGAGTACAAACAATTTCACAATGATGCACAAAAATATATCAAATTTAAGCACAATAAAGAAAACTTAATTAAAGAGAAAAGATAAGAAATGCAAACCAAATATCAATCCAATAGCCTCTTCAATAGATGGCGATGCTAACCAAGATGTACAAGTGAAGGCTCACTCTTTCCTCACCCCAAACACTCTTTGGTTGAGCCAAGGAGTTTTACAACTATTCTAGTTAACCCTCAACAACCTACACTTGAAAGATCACTCACCCAACTAAGAACTATTTTATACAAATGAGGCAACCTTCACCAAAGTTTTACCACTTCAAGTGATAGGTTCACCTTCACCAAGGTTTTACTTCTCCTAGAAAGTAACCTTCACTTGAGCAACCTCACAACCCAACTTCCCCAACCCCTTATACAACCAACAAAGAATCTTTCTACTCAAAAATCTCACTTGTAAGCTTGTATTTTGTGTTGGCAAAAGTCCCTTGTCTTCTTGTGCTTTGGGGTGTTTATAGAAGGTGAGAAATGGCTCCAAAAGGCTCTCCAACGGTCAAATATTAAATGCTGTCAAAACTAGCCGTTGGCCTGTCGGACATCCGAACCACCTGTCGGACGTCCGAACCCTGCGTCCAAACCACCTGTCGGACGTCCGAAGCCTGCGTCCGAACGTCGTCAGAGAGTCATCAAATCTTTGCGAAATTTCTCGTACGTCCGATGCGATCGATGTGCGTCCGAGGCGTGCGTCCGATTCTTCTGGACGTCCGATGCTTCCTCACGAGCGTCCGACAGAGTTTCCTTCTTGATGTTCTTCATCCTTTCGGACGTCCGATAGCTTCCTTTCGGACGTCCGACATGAGTGCCCTGTTTTTGCTTCTTTTTTTGTGCCACAAGAATCTGTTCTAACAAATTGCTCACATAAAAACATTAGCCCAAATCTACATTTTGGTTTGTTAATCATCAAAACCAAGGATTGATCGACCAAAGTCAACAATCTCCCCCTTTTTGATGATGACAAACAAAATGAAGATTTCTTTTATCAAATAAGTTCAAATAAAGCTCCCCCTTAGAAAGTGCCAACATACAAAGAAATTTCAATAAATCCTACTCCCCCTTTTGGCATCAATCAAAAAAACAAACTCCCCCTTTATTTTTCAAATCAAGACCATATTGAATATCAAAATTTTCAAATGTACTTACAACCATTTAGCACTTCTTGGATCAAATTTTCATGATGTACCTAAATATGAGAAATTTCATTTGGTACCCTTTTTTTATAGGGTCCTTGGGAGTTAATACGACATGATTTAGCAATCCACATGGATTTCATGCCTTTTCTCATATTTTTCTTTACATAGCAATCATTTTGCATATGTCCAAATTTGTAACAAAAGTGACACATGATAGAAGTATTTTACACATAGGTGGATTTAATGCAACTAATTCCCTTACCTCTTATCATAGCAAACTTATTTGTGCCTTGAAAAGATTTTCTTTCTTTTGTTTGAGAAAACTTTTCTTTTTCATTTTGGAGAAACTCGTTCAAGTCATTAATTCTTTTCTTTAACAAATTTTGTTCCTCCAACATTTTTTCATAAAACTTTGTTTTCTCTTCCAACTTCTTTTTCAAATTATTTTTGCAATCAAAAGCCATTTTACATTTCTTCAAATCATCATTTTCCTTTTTCAAACATTTGTTTTCTTGAAAAAGATTGGAGTTTTCTTTCAACAAAGCATTTATTTTTGTTTTCAAATCTTTATTTTTAGTATAAGATTCTCTCAACTTTTTATGCATCTTAATCATAAGAAATCGCATACTATTATCTTCATCACTAGAAGAGTGATAAGAATTTACCTCATCTTCTCCAAAGGCCATTAGTGCCATTTGGGCCAACTCTTCCTTTTCTCTTTTTGAATTGCATTCATCCCATGTAATTTTGCAATCTTCTCTTGAACTTCTCTTGTTGAAGATCTTCTTGAGACTTTTGAAGAGATGAGTTATATCATTGCCCACTTCCATGTTTTCACTACCCATGAAGGATGAGTTATCCCTCACTTGAGATGCTTTGAAAGCTATGCCTCTCTTATACATTCTTGCATTTTCTTCCTCTTGCACTTTGGATTTGAGCTTTAATTCATAAGAGGTTAGAGAATTCACAAGAGATTCAATGGACATAGAATTTAAATCATTTGCCTCTTCTATAGCATTTATTTTATTTTCACATTCTTTTGGCAAGGCATTCAAAATCTTTCTATTTTTCTCACCCAAAAAATATTCTTTTCCAAGCAATTTAAGATCTTGAATAATGTCACAAAATCTACTGCACATCTTATCAACATTTTCAAGAGGATGCATTTTGAAAAATTCATATTGAGAAACAAGTAAAGATTTCTTTTGTTCTTTAATATCTTGGTTACCTTCATGAAATTCACACAATTTATCCCAAATGTCTTTAGCTGATTTACAACCTTTAATCCTACTAGATTCATTTACATCTAATGCAATGCACAATATATACATGGCCTTGGCATTCAAAGAAAGATATATCTTGTCTTTTTCATTCAATTCTTGTCTAGTCTTTAATCTACTCAAATTAGTGGTATAGTCAATTATTCTGGCTTCATAAGGACCATCTTCTACCACATACCATAATTCAATATAAACGGATTGTAAGAAAATCATCATTCTTTGTTTCCACATGCTAAAATGAGAACCATTAAACATAGGTGGTCTATCAATAGATTGCTCTTCTAAAAAAGAAACTTTTATGGTTGCCATGATCTTTACTCTAAGCGGTTAAGCTTAATCAAAAGAAACCAAGCTCTGATACCAATTGTAAGGCCTGGTGCAACCCAATGAGTACAAATAATTTCACAATGATGCACAAAAATATATCAAATTTAAGCACAATAAAGAAAACTTAATTAAAGAGAAAAGATAAGAATGCAAACCAAATATCAATCCAATAGCCTCTTCAATAGATGGCGATGCTAACCAAGATGTACAAGTGAAGGCTCACTCCTTCCTCACCCCAAACACTCTTTGGTTGAGCCAAGGAGTTTTATAACTATTCTAGTTAACCCTCAACAACCTACACTTGAAAGATCACTCACCCAATTAAGAACTATTTTATACAAATGAGGCAACTTTCACCAAGGTTTTACCACTTCATGTGATAGGTTCACCTTCACCAAGGTTTTACTCCTCCTAGAGAGTAACCTTCACTTGAGCAACCTCACAACCCAACTTCCCCAACCCCTTATACAACCAACAAAGAATCTTTCTACTCAAAAATCTCACTTGTAAGCTTGTATTTTGTGTTGGCAAAAGTCCCTTGTCTTCTTGTGTTTTGGAGTATTTATAGAAGATGAGAAATGGCTCCAAAAGGCTCTCCAACGGTCAAATATTAAATACTGTTAAAACTAGCCGTTGGCCTGTCGGACGTCCGAACCCTGCGTCCGAACGTCGTCAGAGAGTCATCAAATCTTTGCGAAATTTCTCGTACGTCCGATGCGATCGATGTGCGTCCGAGGCGTGTGTCCGATCCTTCCGGACGTCCGATGCTTCCTCACGAGCATCCGACAGAGTTTCCTTCTTGATGTTCTTCATCCTTTCGGACGTCCGATAGCTTCCTTTCGGACGTCCGACATGAGTGCCCTATTTTTGCTTCTTTTTTTGTGCTACAAGAATCTGTTCTAACAAATTGCTCACATAAAAACATTAGCCCAAATCTACATTTTGGTTTGTTAATCATC